TTGATGATATTGACAACATAGTTTTCTGTGTAGCATTAATTAAATAAATAAATTGAATATTTTTTCCATGGAGTCTCTCCAAGGATGTTGGTGACAATTTCCTATTTATTATAGTTATAGAATTCTCCACATGGCCTTTAGCGGCTGCTAATGCATGCTATTTAATTCTCAGTAAATCAGCCATAGAATCTACAAGCAAAGTATGTAGATAGTCGATGATCGCCGAAAGCAATGACTGGTTTGAGTCGCCAAACTTGACACTGAACAGTACTTGGTTCCATAACAACGGAATAGGAAACATCTCTGAACTTACTTGACGATTTAGAAATAATTATAGACGGGAAATTTTTTATGTTTTTGACTCGAATTTGAATGGATGGATAATATACAAAATTAGAAAAAATATTGTGTGAAACACGTTGGGAAACACTATTTTTCGTAACTCGCTTCCTTTTGCGGAACTCGCTTCGCTCGTTCCGCAGAAATCTGCTCGTTACGAAAAATAGTGCTTTTCCCAACTGGTTGCACAAATAACTATTACAAACAAAAAATAATGGTGGGGAATGCAAGGAGCCATTGGAAGAGGAGATGTCAAGTCCTAACTATGTCACAATGGGGCGGTGGCTTTAGATTTGAAAGCCGTGAAACAGAACAAAAATAAAGAGAATGTTAAAATTTTCAAATTACATGCAAAATACACGCTTTTTGTTTATGTTCGAAAAATACACGCAAGCCAATCAAAATACACGCAAGCCAATCAAAATACACGCAAATCGTGTAATTACACGCTAATTGGCAACACTGCGGTATTCCCATGTATCTGTATTTGTTTTTCCACCCTTTGAGCGCTTGTTCTAAGTATATTTTAAAAAGTGTTGGTGATATGCAGCATCCCTGTTTAAGTCCTTTAGTTGCTATAAAGCCTTTACTGATTAAGTTTCCCTGTTTAATCTGGGTCTTTGCATCACTATAGAGCGATATTGGTCTTTTCCAGTGCTTCCCAAAGCTTTTTCAGCGGAACATTGTCGTATGCTTTCTTTAGATCGACAAAAAGTAAATGGAGTTCTTGGTTATAGGCTAGTTTCTTTTCCATTACCTGGGTCAAACTGAATAAATGGTCTACAGTTGATCTTCCTGCTCTAAAACCGGCCTGTTCTTCTGCCTCACTATCTTTGTACTCGTTCTCTATTCTGGCTTTTATGAGTTTTCCATACACTCTGCTCAGCGTATTTGTTACTGCAATTCATCGGTGGTTCTCGCATTTGTTTCTGTCTCCTTTCTTATATATCGTTGTTAAATAGCTTATTTTCCACTCTTCCGGTACTTCTTGTTTATCTATGCATGTTTGAAATAGTTTTGTTAAATGTTTGTAGAGTTTATTGGTCCCGCACTTTATCAGTTTTCCATATATTTCTCCTGGGCCTGGTGCCCTACCATTTTTCAAGAAGCCGCAGTGTTTTTTAACTTCTTCTTGCATAACTCGTATTGGTGATCCTGCAGTTTTTATGTTTCGTGTCTGTTCCCTTTCTTCTTTAAACTCTGCCCGCTGTTCTGTCAGTAATTCTTCAAAGTACTCTTCCCATTGCTGGGGTGTTATTGTATTGATAATATCCTTGGTTTGTGTTTTTTTTCATGTTTTTGAGTAATCTCCAACTTTCTGTGTTTCTTTTACCCCCCAGATAAGTATTAATATGCGCACAGTTTCTTTCCCATGACTCGTTCTTTTTGTGTACTATTTTATTCCGTACTCTTGCTTGTGCTTCTTTATATATTTCTTTGTCTCGTGTCTTATTTGAACTTAGATACTGTTGGTATTTCTTCCTTTTATCTTCTATGTCTTTTTCTATTTCTTGATCCCACAAATAAGGTGTGGGCCTACTTCCCTTTTTTTTATATTTGCCAAGGGCTTCAAATGCTGCACTGTGAATACTGTCTTTTGATATGTATGTAATGCATTTCAAGGTTTTGGAAGCTCATACTACTCTGTAATTTTTGATCTAATCTCTTCATGTACAACTCTTTTACGCTTTGCTCTTCTAGAGATTTTAGGTTGTATTTCTCAGGCACAATATTGTCTTCTTGGGTTTTTCTTCCGTTTTCTTTGGCGATGTTTCTGCCCGGGATAAAGATTTTTGTTTTTAGGAGGTAATGATCGCTACCACAGGTCGCTCCTCTATATGCTCTCACATCCTGGAATTTTATGTTCGAGCTCTGTTTTGCGATAGTGTAGTCAATAATAGATTTTTGTTGTCTAGTTTCATTTTTCCATGTGTACCTACCTATGTATTTCTTTATGCTGAAAGTAACCGTTTGGGATTTTTAGGTTATTTTGTTGGCATATTTCTATAAGCCTTTCTCCATTGTTATTCGTTACATTCTCTCCGAATTTTCCGATCACCTTGTCGTTGATTTTTCTTCCTGTTCGTCCGTTAAAGTCTCCCAGCAATATTATTTCCCTTGAAGTTCCCACTTTTATGATTTGGTCACTGAGTTGTTGATAAAATGGATCCTTTATATTAACGGGTTCGTCGTCGTTCACTCCATATATTCCCAAGATTGTTATTTTCCTTCCGAACATACATACATTTAAAACGCATTGATGTCAGAAATCTGTCAAAGTGTATATTTTTTGATAAACGCAATTTAAATGGGGAAAATTAATAACAATCACCATCACAGAACACATCACCATAATTAAAATATTCGACACAACGTATAAACTTCAAACTCGGGAAATTTCCAGTAGTAATATAACTAGTGCATTAAATATTTCCGGAAATTTTTGAAAATTTTGTCTGAAGCCAATTTTTCAACAAAATCATGAGTGCATAGCGCCTGAAAAAATCCCGAACCCGAACGGTGAGGGATTTTTTCTTCGGCGCTATGCACGAATGGTTTTGTTTAAAAAAATTGGCTAAAGACGAAATTTTTAAAAAATTTCCCTTAGGAAGTATTTTATGCACGTGTTATATTTTGATAGGAAATTAGCAATAAGCATATTTTATAATAATCAGCACTTTTCGCATAGGAGCATTGTACTTGATTTATTTTAATAGACTTAGACTTAACTTTACAAAAGAAGGTTGTTTTATTATACGCAAAATGCCAAATGATCCCATTATTACAATTGTTTGAATCGGTATAATATCAGGATAACTATAACTTTGTTGAGGGTCAACTTCGGCATCGTAGTAATATGATTCTTGATCATTTTCGGTTTAAGAAAAGTCAGTGACGTTAATCGTATCTGAAATAAAATCACGTGGTTGCGTAACTTGGGAATAATTGCTACCAGTAGTTTGTGGTGCATTGGTAGCAGAATAGGTTTGCCTTTGTCGTTGTAGACATTGGGGTAGGTCTGGGAAAATTTTTGTTTTGTCCTGGTTTAAATACATTTGTCTGATTTTTATTTTTGAAGACCTGTCAATTAGTTGGGAATTTTTGTTGGATTTTATTATAATCTGGTCTCACATGAATAGGTTGAAATGGAAACTTTTGTTGAGTCAACGGTGTTATTTGGTGTATTAGTATTAAAGGTGTTAGGATGATTGTATCTTTGTTGTGTATTTTGTTTGAAATGCTGTGAGCGTTGTTTTTGTTGAGTTTTAGCTATATTCTGAAAATATTGTGTATTATATTCCTGTGTGACAAACTGTAAAACTTCGGGAAGGTATTTGGGACGCATACACCTAATTGTTGTTCCCCATGGTTCGCTTAAGCCGGATAAGAAAGTTTTAATGGCAAGATCATTGTATAAGTTTCGCTTTAAATTTTTCGCATTTTGGTCAACTTCATGACTATTCACATAAGAACAAAGCAGGTTTGATGTATGCATAACTCTGTCATGATACTAAGTTTTTCTGAATTTTGTTGTCTCAACATTACGAGATCTCTATTTAAGCATGCCTCGTCTCTTTGATCTGCGAAATGCTTGTCCAATGTTTGTTTCAAATTATTCCAAGCTGTGAGATTTTCTGTACCTAGGATCAATTTTGCGTTTCCAGTTAGTTTTCCAATGATGCAATTTATCAAGTAAATATTTTGAAAATGGTTTGGCTGATTTGCATCATAGAAATTATCAATTAAAGAATTAAACAGACTTTGAGAAATTCAACTACTTAGGTTTAAATTGAGCCATATTGTTACTTGTATTAATATTATTAGATTATTTTGATTATTAGTGCTTGTATCAGTATCTGCAGCACTGTTATTTAATGTTTGACTAATATTTCTTTATATTTCTGTATCGGAAGGTAGAGATAGAGATAGATAATAATTTTTCTGTTAATTCATCAATATCAGACATGAAAGAAATTACAAATTGCACATTGCACTTATGTACATGAAAATTATTCCGTCGAGTAACATTTTTAAGGCCAAGACTTTCTGGTAGACTATGTTTATCCTTCCAAATCAGTCCTGGTCCTCACGAGTATTGGCTATTATGGTCCAATATTCCGATTGCTTGAAAGTGGTTTTTTGGTTTTGAATTTCGTAAAGCTACTCCGACACTTCTCAGCAAACACCTAATACGATTCTTACACAAGAGTGTAGATTCGAGTTCCTGATGGTTAGTCCGATTTCCGAAAAGTTCGTAAACCAGTCCCAAAAACAAAAATCCGGACGACTGCGCCAGTTATCAATTCGTAAGCCGATAACGAGTTTTTAAAAAATAATGTATTCACTAATTTACAATACAAGTACTTTCGCGTTACGCGTTACATAGGTTAAAAATAAGAAATATAATTATAAAACAACTAACTGACTATTCTAGGCAAGCAGTGATATATATACCTAGTATAGAAAAGCGAATTAAGCAGATTATGTGTAGTCAACAAATAGGGCTGACTAGTCAAGGAAAAATTTAGCTTATGGTAACACTAACGATATTGAGCTACTTTTAACGTGCCCCAATAATAATACATACCTAAACACATTAAGTTATCCATTATGCAATACCGCTAAATAGTCCTTTAAATAACTTATTATTATGTTTTCAGGTACTGGCAACCAAAGGATGAGCTAGCCTACTAACGGAGAGCCTCCCTGAAAAAAGTTTTCATCGCCCTTCAATGTAGTCCTTAAAAAGTTTATGAACTGTAATCTTTGGCACAAAAACTACATTTGCTAAAAAAAGAAAATCAATATTGAACTTGAGAAAATTTTGATTTGCTTCGACAACCAATCAGGAATTAGGCCATGCAATTAGAGCCAATAAGTTTGTGATTTCTGTTGGGACAGTCTTGATTCTTGATGTTTGCCAAAGGTTACATTATCCATAACTCAAAAAAAAAATAACGGGAAAAAAGTAACATAAAAAATACAAAATGATACAAAAGTCATAAAAAAATACGCTTAATAATTTTTTTGTTAGTTTAATTTTTTTTCAAATTTAAGTGTGGCCTGGTAAAGTAGTTTGTTGTGTCAATTTCTTTTTCAACTTTTCAACCCACAACGAATTCTTTACATATGGAAATGTAACGCCATTTTTCGAAAAAAAAAAGCTAGATAAATTCTAGCCTGTTTAAATATTGTCCTGCCACGTTCAGTAATAATGGATGTCTGTTATTTGACTCGTAAAACTAAATACTATTGTCGTTTCAAATCAGAATTGAAAATATTAATTTAGTTACCGAATCAAAAATTATTATATCTTACTTGTAAATAATATGTAAAGAATGTTGATAATTGGGGGCCAGTGTGTTTTTTTTTTTTTTTTTCAAGGAGAATTGTGTTCATTTTGTTTTTGTGTGAGTTCTACAAGAGACTTCAAAAAGATCGCAGTATGCAGCGATTAAAATGACAATAATATACACCCAATATTTGTCAGTTATATGAAACAAATTTGACAACTGCCAATTTTAAAATTAATATCCACAAATTGTGTTTATGTTTATTTGTGTTTGTTGCTTCTTGGCACTTCCTCAGAATTGCCTAACAACAAAATCAAGATATTTTGCTGGCAAACTATTACCTACATTAATTTTTTGACAAAAATATTTGGGGATCTTTTGTACTACACCAACGTTATTGTCATTGTCTAGTTTAATGCGGTAAGTTGTTAAAATCTGAGAAATACTGTCATCCCTGCTGTAAATTATTGTAGACTTCGCAAATTTAGAATGAATATCCGAATTGCGCTTGTGCTGTGATCTTTTTTTAAATATGATTAAAATATGAAATTGCCGTTATGTTAACATGCAACGGAAGTAGTATTATATGATATCTTATGATAACGTACTGTAACCAGTTTTTTTTCTATAAAAATATGTGGTACTGTGGACATAGACACCAAACATACATATTTAAAAACTATTTACAAAATTCTGTTCCATCCTGGTGAAGATTCTCATATTTTTATAGAAAGTAAGAACCAAAAAAAAAAAACTTTCATAAACATTTTCTGTAAGGAAATATATTTGTAAGTATTTATGTTCTAAGGTTTTATAAACCTCCCAAAGGTAAAAAAATAAATAAAAAAATCTTGTAGTTTGTGATTGTTAACTTATTGTAAACTTAGGGCTAAACCTATTTTTTTTTTGGTTGTTACAGGAAAACCTTTTATTTATTTGTTTATTGTGAAATTTTTTATTTTAATATTTTCTATATTTTATTGTGTGAAATTGTATTTTGTTGATTTTAAGCAGTGACCGTGTAACAACCAAAAAACTATTATTATCTCTTATATTGTATAAATAATTTTAGATAGTTATTATTATATTGTTTTTTGTATTGAACAGGAAATTATACAAATACATCTTTAGGGTAAGATTCATAATAATAATTAAGTTAATCATATTTTTCTAAAAAAACATTAACTGGTATAAATAGGCATTTTTTTCATCATAGAAGACGTTTGTATTAAAAAACCAAAAAAATAAATAAATTATTTAAAAAATAATTTTCCTAATATTTATACAAAAACAAAATATTCTTATTATTATGTACCTATTTGAAACAAAATATTTATTTGAGGGGTTTATTAGTTTATTTCATGAGTTAAAGTTTGGGTTAGTCAATTATTGAAACTAACTTTTATGGAATATTTCAAAGCAAAATATAATTTTTAAGTTTGTCATTATTACTAAATTTTACACTTTATATACAAAGTTTATCATCAATTTTTATTGTGCAAAATTATTTTAAATTCCTTACTATCTGTTGCTTAAAAGTCTGTTCAGTGAATAGTCAAAAACTGTTTTCGCATAATCCCAACCAAACTCATTATTAACGGCAAAAAAAAGTGTTTATTTTTGTAATGGAAACCTCCCACATGTCGGTGATATTTTTGTTAGATCTCATATTCATCTAAGTTTTATTTTGTACATAGTTCAGTTGATCATTCTTCAGATTACATTGAAAAGCGAAAAAAAAAAAAATCATTAAATAAATTTTTTAAAACTCGACATAATAACATCTTGTTTTATTTCTTAAATTTAAGGGTAATCATATAATTATATCCATATACAGTGAAATCCACCCAACACTCGAACTAATATTACCAAAAAACACTGCAGATTCAATATAAAATACAATAAACATAGTATACAGAGAGTGAAACGAAAACAAAAGTGATTGTTACAATGTTTTTTGACTTTTGATTGTGTGTGGTCCATGATGCCTTGTTAGCCAAATTAGAGAGATATGGCTACAGGAGTAGAATAAACCATTGGATTTGTTCATTTCTGGGACAGCGTTTGTGTTCATGAAATCAGAAGTAGTTCGTCGCGAAAATTCGGTTATGATTTCTATTATTCATTATGAACTGCTGTTCTTGTGAAAACCAATGTATTGGCAAACGAAGGCCGAAGGATGCAGAAATGTTTGGTGCGCGATGTGATGGTTGCTCCAAGGTAACTTATAAATCAAACAACTAGCTCTTCTGTTGAAACGACTACTGTGTGTCAATAACTACCTACTCCACCTTCAATAGGTCACATGGATGGCAACTTAATAAGAAAACCAAATATCGTAGTTTGTAGTTTTTACTGATAGCTTTGGCAATAAGTATCTAAATTTGCACCTTAGATAAGATGCTCAAAGAATTTAATGTAAAAACCATATTTAAACCTTATGCCAGTTGTTCACAAATAGTTATGGACATGGACTGTTATACAGCGTGACTCAGAGTAAATGTCCCTTTTCGAACACGCCCTGTACATCCAGCTTAATATTTGTGGGGGGTTAGCGCTGGCAATTTGCGGCGATTGCGTGCGGATTATCAGTAAACATGTAGCAGTGGTCGAACGCGCGTTTATGGTCGAGGCGTTTTTTAAATCAAACGATTCCTGTCGCGGCACGGCACAGCGATGTTTTTGTAACCGTTACAATATTCGTCGTATATGTGATGCTCCGTCAAAAATCTATTGAAATCATGGGTTCAAGGTTCAGACAAAGTGGTCCAATGGCAAATCCGAAGCGGCCCGGCCAGCAGAAGTCCATCAGAACGCCAGAAAACATTGGGATTGTGCGTCGTGCTGCAACTGAAAATCCGAGACACTGATTTCGAAAGCATGGCAGGACGTTTCTGATTTGCCAATTGCCACTGTATCACTTTGAATCTTTGAACTCACGATTTCAATACATTTTTTGACGGAGCGTCACGTATACGCCGGATATTGTACGGTTACAAAAACTTTGCCGTGCCGCGACATAAGAATCATTCGATTTAAAAAATGCCTCGACCATAAACGCGTGTTGCTGGTTCGACCACTGCTCCATGTTTACTGATAAACGCAGTCGCCGCATATAGCGAGCGCTAACCTCCCCACAAATAATAAGTTGGTTGTACAGGGCGCGTTCGAAAAGGGAAATTTACTTTGAGTCACCCTGCATTAAGGATATGTCAACTACGTACTTCGTTAGGGTGACCATACGTACAGCATTTCGCTGTATTGTACAGCATTTTCAAAGCCTGTCCAGCATTTGATTTTGTACAGCAAACGTACAGCGATTCGGATCCGATAAAAAATAAGATTTTCTTTAAAAAAAATTTACGAAAAATTGTCCATCAACTAACGACTTTTCTACATTTGCGATTTACGTCATTTACGCCCATATCCCAGAGTATTATTCTTTTTAATGCTAACTACCTTTTTTATCTCTCTCTATTCCATGGTGCTAAGAAGAAGACACAGCATAATAGATCTGTTTCTGCAGCAATCACAAACCAGTCAGCGCGAATTTCATTGGTTGAAAAAATAGTCAGAAAATCAGAAACAGTCAGAAAACTAGTTTCAACCCAAGGTTCCTAAAGTTAATAGGTTGTCTGGTAATGGGAAACAGATGACGTCATCAGGAAGTTCTAATGGAGATTTGCATTATGTTTAGGCATCCAAATGACGTCATAAAAGTTATCAGCCAACCTACCTCTTTCAAACAACCTTGGTTTCAACCATTAATGACCGTTTGCACCGACCATTTCAAGGAAGCCTTAACGTTGACTATTCCTTAAAATGACATTTTTTCATAGAGAAATGTCAATTAAAGGGATTCCTTAAAAATTAAAATGGTCGGTGCAAACGGCCATAAGGTTTTCAACCAATGAAATTCACAGAACAGACCTATTATGTCTTTAATTTTTTGTTTTTGTGTTGAATGGTACTAAAACAGGCTTTAAACTCGACAAAATTTGCATTCAGTGCTTTCTCCACTCACTAACCCAAACTAACCCAAAATTTTAGATGTGTACAGCATTCGTACAAAAAAAATATGGTCACCCTATACTTCGTTATTTAATAATAATAATAATAATAATAAAGGTTTATTTATTCCAAAAAAAAAAAAAATAATATTTATCGCCGGTTTAAGCACCGTACTGTGGAGTTCAGAAAGGAGGCTATCACTCTCCTTGCCAACGAATGTTTTTATACAAACCTTCTCATCTGTATCTTACCAACATCAAGTAACAATTCCTGCGCCGACTTTATTGGAAATATAAACGATCCCATTTGCCGCAACGTGTCTATGCTAAACATATTTTTTTATTATACTTACCTGAAAACACCTGTTTTCCACCTGTCTCAACAATAAAGTAAAGTTGACAATTCCAGAACTGCGCACGGAAATGTTTTCCCGATCTCTATTTCCGTGCGCTGAGCAGATTAGACGTCAGTCAATATTGCATCCTTGTCAGTCATTAGAAATTAACAAAGATATCTTATTATAAATGCACCCCGAAAAATAAAAAACGATATAAAGAAACTTATATCATATAAGTTTCTGTGACAACCATCATTTTACCAGAGACATGAGTATGAAATTGACTGCGTGTTCCGTATAGTTGCCGTACGCGGCAGTGATGGAAAGATGGTTAGGCAACCAGTATTTCGCATTGTGGGCAAGAAGCTACACAAGCGCATTACCCACAACGAGAAATACCACATAATTTCATTTAAAGGTGACATATAATTACTTATCCATAGTGTATCGTTAAAAACTAAATACTAGACGTGCTTAAATGTATGTGTTTTGTGCAGACCTGTGAGGCAAAAAAATAAAACAATACTTAAACGTTAGATAAAAAAACTTGTTATTCCTAAACAATTCTTGGGCAAATTCAAAGGCACAAAATACTAGATTGTAAGGTATAAATACTTATATGTAAACTTGAATTTAGGATTTAGATGCAGAACTGATTTCAATTCTACTGGTTCTTAAAAATTACAAGTTTTGTATACATTTGCCTAACTCTATCAGTGATTCTACTTGCTTCCCTATTCTGATAATGGATTCTAATGAGAAAATAAACACGTAAAATTGCGTTGATCAGCTGAAGTAAATGATTATTAATAGGATCTTGGTCCAATATATGATCACCAAGCTCCTTAAAATAATTGTGAATGTTCATGTCACTCATCGTCCATAATATAATTTTTTTGAGTGTAGTGTTTGGAGTGTAATGAGTACGAAAATTTTTTTCGGCTGAACTGCACAGTTTTATTACATCTTCTGATGCCTTACATAATCCCCCAAGATCTTTTCTATTTAGTAAAAGTGATGACGACTCATCAGAAAACAAAAAATTACAACAAATCGCGTATCTAACACTAACGTATAACAAGTGCGCGCGGATTTCTGCCCCTAATGTGCAGTTAGGGTTGCCTACCATGTTTACATCCCTGTTCGTGCCGTACGCCCAGTCCATTTCATGCTCATAGGTGCTTTCCAGTGATCCATTTGAGTTACTCCTGAGCAGCTCAGGAGTGCTCCACAATTGCTTTGCGCGTTCCAGTGCTTAGAGTGTCGTACACTTGAGTACGTTTTTGTTATCCCCTGCCCCCTCGTGCACCAACCCTTTTGTCTGTGTTTCATGCTCCTGAAATCCGAAATGGTGGGGGTTAAGACGAGAGTGTGCTGCTTATGTCGAACAGTTCAAGAGCGTCACACTTCAGGAGCATGATACTCTAACAATTTAGGCACTGGAAAGCGGCTTATGTCTCTGCATTTTACCTATGTACAGTCGTGGGCATTGAAAGTGGGATACCCGATTTTTCCTATTGTAAAACGAACTCACCAGCTATACTTGCAGCAATGACTGGGATTGTCATATTTGGCAAAAAATCCATTGTAGAGAAAAGACTGATTGACCCAAAAATTCGAAAAATAACAAGACCTGTGAGCAGGGTTGCCAGATCTATGACATGAAAAAGCGGGACTGCTCTTATCCAGAGGAAAAGCTCGGGTGTCACGCCCAAAAGCATAAGGGGGGAAGGGGCTGTAGTGCCCAATCGGTCCCCCCTATAGACCGGACCGCCTTGAGCAAAAGCGCAACAAATTTTTTGGAGCCTCGCCCAAATTTTGTTAAGGTTGAGAATTCAACCAAAACTCGACCAAAAGAAAAATTCTCCTTTATTAGATAACAAAATAAACGCTTCACGACAAAACAACAGTAATCATATAACATATTACATATTTACATAATACCTATAACTTTTTGTATGAAAAAAAGTCCTAAAAAGTTGAAGCTTGTATGTACTGCACTACTTTTTTGCCACTCTGTATGTTCTGCTTTTATTTATAAAGCAAAATTTAAATAATTTTGTGATAAACTATGTTCTTTCGTTGTGCTTCACAAAATTAAATTATAATTGGATTTGAAAGAATGTTTTTAACATGTAAAATTCTAATCAAAATCATTCACTTTCGTCACTAGATATGTTATCACTAGTGACGAAAGTTAAGTTTTTGGCTAAGGTGAAATATCACGAAATTGTTTATTTTCTAACGGTCATAGAAAAAATGATTTTTGACGAAAGTTGTCTATTTTTCAGTGGCCAGAACAAAAGTTTTTCGCAGATGCTAGTTTGCTTGTGCAATGAGATTTGGATTTTGTTGGAATTTTTGACATTTTTATACCTACACAAC